TATATATACATGGATTGTTAGCTTGAATATTTTTGTGTGAACGACATAACATCCACAACAAAAACACACAGGGAAGAAACCTGGTGGCTCACCAATAAACGCCCGTAGCCCGTGTATAGACGAGACAGCTAGATATAAGGCTGTGACTCCAAAAGATGTGTGAAACAAAACAACACACACACACTGAGGAGGTATTTGCCGATCAGTTGGGGCGACTTTAAGATGTTATAAGATGTTATAAATTATACGGGCAGTTGTAAGTAAATAATTTCGATTGCTAGGGATTGATTTTGTAGCCCTGACCGCCTCTGCTTGCTCTTTGCTGAAGAATTCGTCGCCCTCGGCCTGACACGAATTGATTCTATGACCATTGGACCCAACTAACCGGCCCCAAACGAACAGCTCTTTGGATAAGGCCCGAGAGTGCAGTGATTTTGCTCCTAGCCTTTGGATCACGGAACTACAAGACATCCCTGAAGCATGCTTCTGTCCACAGAAAAACTCCACTGAGTTCTAATCAAAGAGACGTTTTTTTCTGTTCACGTTCAGTGGCATGGTGCTTCCCTGAAAGACGGGGACCCAGGGTGTTGGTGACAATGAAGTCCCTCGAAGTCCAGTTCAACTATCCTTGGCCATATTGAGGTCCCAGACGCAACCCTGGACCCTCCGTTCAAAAGGGGGGCGGGTCCGAATCCCCATGTTTTGAAATGTTTCGAGGGAGCAAGGGCGGCTTGGAGCGTTTGCGGCGACGAGGGAAAATTCATGGACTGGGTCACCTATATAGTACAGTCAAAGCATTTCCAAAAAATTGGACTGGACCCGACCCCCAGAAAAATTGATTCAGAGATTGCACATTGCCCGGGACGTGCGTGCTCTCGTTGTGGGGCCGTGCGCATTTTTGGACTTGGTGATCACATTTCGTGGCGGTGCAGTACTTTGTGGACCTTGCAGTGCAGATTTCGTAGCACGTGCTATGATGGAGTGGAGTCGATCCTGGCAGTCCAGAACAGGATCTTGGCTTAGTAGCGTCCTTGCTCCTAGTAGTACGGCCAGGAACCCCTAGTAGCATCCTTGCTCCTAGTAGTAAGGCCAGGAGCCCGTAGTAGCGACTCACACTCACTCTCACTCTCACTCACACTCACTCTCACTCACTCTCACTCTCACTCACACTCACACTCACACTCGCTCACTCACTCACTCACCACCACCACCACCATCACCACGATCTCCACCTTCATCACCACCATCACCTCTCTGGACCCCAATGCGTCTAGATCTCTAGACTTTCTGCTGCTTCACCTCTAGACCTCACACAAACACACTGTTTGGGGTCTCTTGCAGGGATGATGAGCCTTTGCCGCCTCCATTGTTTTCACATCAAGCTCCAGCTCTGAGAAACAAACCGGGTCTCTCGCGCTCTCTTTCCGCGCCACATCCATGCGCCCCGTCGGTCCTTCGTCTTCCAAAGAGCATAGAGCGCCTTGATCGCGGCTGAACGACTCAGATCGAGGGGTCTTGGGGTCCCTGTGGAGTCCAGGTGGATTCCAGTCGATTGGAAGACTTCCGTTCTGAATGCATTTTTTAGCAGTGTAGGGTTCTGGCAGATGGCCAGCACCGGACTGGTCGAACGGAGAAGCACCGATCGAACGGTCCAGACTCATGGCGAGAGTCGAGACCTCTTGCCCAAATGCCCCCATGTACCAGGACCGAACCCGTTCGTCCGGTGGGTTTTGGACACGCACGGATGGTCCTGGTAGAATTCGAAGGTCGAAGCTCGAAGTCACTGGTCGCTGGTCGCTGGCTTGGGGGTTACCCATGGTTACCCCCCAAAAAAAAGACTTTAAACCATGCATGAACAAGCTGGTTCTTGGGATTCCACGAACATCGCCCAACTGCTCCGTGTGGGCGGCCGGTGCCGGTCCGGACTCCAGAGGATTGTCTGGCTTAGGAGGGTCAATGAGTGTCTGGGTGGGAATTCGAAGGACTATATACCAGCACCCGACTTCACAGGTCACCACCTACCACTTTGGGTCGTCTCCATTTCAGCGCCACCATTTCGGAGACCTGTAGTCGTGTGCTGGTATACACACTCATGAGTGTATGTTCTCCGAGGCCCTCCACCCCCCCATCGAGTCCATCGAGTCCGACGAGACAAGCCTAGGCAAGCGCACCAACTGAGACGCCAACGGCGGATCTTTTTCGGAGAGGTGCGGGTTCCACCGCGCATCTTGCGGCTTCACAAGATGCCATAAACTGGTTGGTGGATTCGACTCACTGGAAACAAAAAGAGTACATGAGTGGAGTGGGGCCGCTTGAAATCATCCCAAGTAAAGGTCAAACATCGTATCTGAAACCACCACCCAGTACATCTGAAAATGAGATGACTTTTGACCGGTGAAAAATCCCCGAAGGCGACTTTGACCACCAGCCTTGCCAAGCTGTAAAACACGTTTTCACATAAAATAGGCCCTTTGTAGCGAACCCAAGTGCACCGGAGATATCCACCTTGAAAACGGGTATGTCATGAGAAGGATTGCCCAAACACGCACAAACGCTTCGTAAGCTTTCAGGCCTTTCTTGGTCCCTGAAAACCCAAGGATTGGTGAGAAACCCCAGACCCCTGACCCCAGGATTCGGGGCCGGCCCCTACTCAGTAAGCTTCTGCACTTCTTCCCGCCAAAGGCCTGTAGGCAGGTGTTGTTTGCTACTTCTTGGACCATGACTGTCACTGTCCATGACTCCAGGACTAATGTTTTCGCATGGTCAACTTATTCCAATCCAAATACTCTGTCAGAAGATTTGCAGGGAGACACCTTGATGTGGTCGCAAAGTGAAGGTCCGAGTAGTGTCCTATAGGGGGGACTCAATGTATTGGATTATGGATCTTCCAACTGTGCAAAATTTGCTGCCTGTTCATCTATAAAACCAGCCAGTTAAATCAGAAATCTTGCATAGTTGGAAGATCAAGGCTGAACGTTCAATAGTAGCAACTTTAAAGAACATGGAGTTCCTCGGCAGCATGCTCATACATGCTCATTCACTCGTGAGTTGTCAATAGTTGTCATGCCTTTCCTTGTCATGTCCTAGCACGACCCGCTGGGCTGCTTCGACGCTGGGAGTCTCCAAAAGCACAAGGCTGGGAGGGCGATCTGAGGTGCTGAGTCGAGATCCAAGACCTTCGCTGAGCTAGGTCTGGTTTCGACAACATCTCACACTGCAAAGGTCGCACCCCCAAGCCCTTCACTTGCCTGCCTCTTTGAGGCATTCCATAAAAGCGGAGTGGTGCCCAACTGGGGATTTGGGGAGCTGCTTTGACCAACCCTGCGGAATTGGTGTGATCCCACCGGCGGACTTCCTCCGCTGCAGCGGTTTTGGGAGCTTCTTCTCGAACTCTCAAACTCGACTTCTATGCTTCAAGTGAAAACGACCTGGTTTTGTGTCAAATCAGTAGTAGTCATATATTTGATAAAGATTATATATCGTCTAAAATTATCTAAAGCAACTTTGTTGGTTGGAATCCGGTCCGAACAAAATGGCCGAACTTGGGAGTCGATTGTGACCGAACTTCAAGGCCAGTTGGTGAGCTCAGTTCCCCGTGGAAAAATAATAGTCTAGAGGTCACTTTCATGAACCAAGCAATCAACTTCAGCATGATCATGCAGTGAGCGTCTAGGCATTTAGGTATTCCATGGTATTCCCTGCTATTCCATGGTATTCCTGTATCTTCCAACTGTGCAAGACTTGCTGCCTGTTCATCTATAGAACCAGCCAGTTCAGGCAGAAGTTTTGCATAGTTGCAAGATCCAGGTGTAGGTTCAATAGCAGGCTTTAAAGAGCACAAGTTCCACGGGCTCGCTCAACACATCGGTTTAACTGGTCAACCAACTGGGATTTGCTTCAGGAACTATCTCCCTGCAAACATGGTCTTGTGGATGGCACCCCCTGTTCGTAGAGAAAAAACGGGTCTTTCCAGGGGCCATTGTCCTCTTCCATCAATAGGAAAAATGACAATCACCCTGAGCAGGTCAAAGTGGCAGGTGATGACCTGTCTGCCTGGAACTGCCTATCCACACCCATCCATTGAACATCAATTCACACACTCCGCTCACCCCCATTGGGCACGTGACCGGCCCGGCCACACTCGCTCGCCCTGCATGCGTCCGACCAGAAGCACCAGGGGTGTGAGAGTCCGGCGCGCTCCGATGCACTCACGGTGAGAGACACCTTCAATTCTGAAGGTGGTGAAACTTGTCCAACGCCCGGACAGGGAGGACAGAATGTCCAAAGCATGTGAAAAAAAAAACATGTTCACTGTTTGGGGTTCCTGGCCCACCGGTTTCATGAGTTTTGACCGAACAACCAGATTGATGTTACTTTAAGGACTCAGGACTCTATACTATATAACTACAAAAAGCAGTTCAACCATGGTAGAAGGCTGCCGGGTCTTCACTTGATTGATAGAAAGAATGACCTTCTCAATGACCCACAAACTCCCTGCGGTCAGCGTCTCCGGAGTGAAGACGTAACCAAAAACAATAGGCACGACCGGAGAATGGCGGCCCAGCCCATTGCTTTTTAATGGTTGAACATCCCAAAGAACCATCGTTTTACTAAGGGTGTCACTACAAACCCAGCTCATCCATTCTTTTAATGGTCTTTGAAGGCTAGGGACTAGCTTTGTACCCTGTCTTTCGGTACGCAGGTACCGGATTCCAGGTACCAAACGACAAGAAGATCAAGAAGCACATGGGGATGTGTCGAAACCGGGACACACCGAAAACGAACTGAATAGAATAGACTACAGTACCTGGCAGGTCAACCTATTCTGGTGACCGGGGCTGGTTTGGACCCACAGCCACGCACACTTCAGCTGTTGCACATATATATTTTAGATAATATATAATATATACCAGCACCCTCCTGGTACTTCGTTGAGGGTTGGGAAGGACCCTGTTGACTGTTGACCAGGTCGAACCAGACTGGTGAGCGTAGTCCTGGTCGGGTGGTACAAGTAGCGTAGTGCAAAACACTTCACCTCAAACTTTGCGTCCATTGGGCATTGGACCGGTCTATCCTCATAGACAACGGGTACCGAGCCTGGCAGCCAACAAGACGCGTGGGCGCGTGGGTGGCATCCCCACAACCCCGCCGAGACAGGGTGTCCGTTCGACTTCAACGAATCTGAGCCTGCTTTCTGGCCTATTGATTGGGTATATCCTATTCCCACTGGATGGGGCCTGGTTGCAGGCCAAACATTTCTTCATACCAGCACCCAACTCTACAGGTCTCCGAAATGGAGGAGAAGAAGGGCATTTGTGGGGCCCTGTCGACCTATAAGAGGCCTCCAGTTCGGTGACCTGGCAGGTTTCGGGTGCTGACTCGTCCCGACTGTTTTGCAGGTGAGAACTCGGGACACCCCAACTCCAACTCAAAACATTCGCTCGGACCTAGGTTCACTCCAGTGGACGCAGGCATGGTCAAACGAGCTGCCCCGTTGAGATCAGTGCCACCACGATTTGGATCGCCTGAGTCCCCGAACAACCAGGGTTTTCCATGGTTTTGCTATAGGCTATAGGATTTTACACATATGCATGGTTTTCCATGGTTTTCCAGCTGTTTTACTATAGGATTTTACACCTGCAAGACCAAGACCAGGGCCGGTCAACCGAACTCGCTCGTTTTTCTACTGGGACTGGGTCCCAGCAGGGCCGGTCCCAAAGCTCAGCGGAACATTGAACCGTTGACCCTATGCCCGGCATAAAACAGATACGACTGTACCCATGTTCTGTGGAACCTGAGACTTCACAGATCTCCATTTCGGATGGTCCTCGAGCCTTTGGGACTGAGCCACACGCTGGACCACTTATAGTATACAGTAAAGAGGGTTGATCAGTGGCCATCCGGCAAAGATGGTGCGGGAAGATTTTGCACTTTCAATGGGACTCTCATCATTTCTTCTACCCAAACGATCGTTGGACAGTCTTCCATTTCCACATATACAATACACTCTCCAAAATCCAAGATCAACTCCCCTATGTCTTCGTTCCCTGAAAGAGGGTACCCACCTCCAGATCGTCTCCTGCGCGCATTCAACGCTCGCCCTCGCCTCGTCCTCGCCTCCGCGGCGACCCTCAGCCGAAAACGGTTCCATCGGAGATGCGACGGCAACGGGGTCGCTGGGTGGGTGCAAAGCATTCCAGCGAGCTTGTTGGGACTGGAAGAGCCGACAAATACCATGCTTTCCTTATCTTACATGGGTCATAAAAGGGATACATATTATAAGTCATGTCTACTACACTAAACCCGTAATGGGCCCTTCGGACACTAGGTCGGACCTGACAACCACCGTTTCACGCAGGGGGTCCGGAGGGCCCAAAGCAAAGCCTATGATCCAAGTACTGTAATTACCTTCTGAGAAGGTACTTGGATCCCATGTACTAGTAGCTATTCCTTTATACATGGATGGTCAGGGTGAGTCAAGGCTCCTACAGTTCGATGAAACGTCATTAAAACAAGAAAGACATATTAAGACTACAGTAGGAGTTCCGAAGACTTGAGTTCCACGTCTAATTCATCCATGTTGACCGGCCATGTGATATGAGGATATCCTCAAAAAGTGTCTGGCAAAGAGCTTCCCCAGTATCAAACGGGAAGCTCTAAGAGGCGTAAGAGGCTGTATTGATCGGATGTCCTTTCCGGGATCCTTCTTCAGAAACATCGTTTTGGTCTGAGTCCGCCTGAAGTAAGATCAGTTCATCGTCTTCGTTTTCCACCTGAAGATGACGCAAGCATATTTCGTAGCTCATCTGAGTTGCTACTTGTAGTCCAAATTGCTTGGTCTGTTTGGGCAAAACGAAGCCGCTTCGGTCCCAAAAACCCCAAGGCCCAGTTTTTCGACGTTTCTTTTCTCGTTGTTCACCTGCGCGCCATGGGTCTTGGTCTCGGGATCTCGTTGTGGACCTGTGGCCTCTCCGTGCGTAGACGCATTCTTTCTTCCCTGCCCCCCTTAGGCTACCGGCTAGTCCGACGGCTGTGAGAAGGTCAAAAAGAAATCCCCGCCCCCCTTCAGGTCTTGCGAAGACTGTGAATGGATGAACCATGATGAACCACACAGAGCGCGGACGCCGCCGCAAAATGAGATGTCGTGCCGGTGCGCCGGTGCGCCGGTGCGGGGTTCCCGCAAGTCATCCCGCGGAATAGTCCAACACGCCCACAAAAGGACGACCGAGATTAGGTGCCTCGACCCTCCAAGTACCTCGGAAAATGCAAGTACCTGTTTTTATAGGGTCATGTCCCATTTTATTGAGTATACTTATGTAGTACTTTGGAGGCTCCGGTAGACTCTTGATCAATAAATAACAAAAAAAACACCTTACCGGCGCCCAGTTCGGATGGTCTATAGAACCCCCCTGACAATGTATTTGCCATCCAACCACCCGAAATGGGTTGGTGCTGGTATGAAGAGGGTTTACAATTTGGGTGAATTGCTCATTATGGAGGTTGTTCAAAACAACTCTCAACATGGGAATTTGCCATCTAGCTTGTGTCCTTTGTCTCTTCAATCCGATGAACAGTTGCTGTTGTGTCCAGTGTGTCCACACATTCTGATCCACCCAAAGGGGCTGCGTGCGGACTCAGAATGAAGGGGATAAGAGAGGTTTTACAATCAAATTGGAGGTCGCTATTGATAATCAACAGCCTACATTCTATAGGTAAGACTGTAAGACTTCGTAATTAAGAGAAATTAGCCGGCAATCCTGACAGGTAGAAGTTTCTGTGAATGATGCTTTACCAGGCGTTGCCGTCATCCATTGCAGCTATCTTGGGTGGCGGGCAACGCAACAGCCTATGAAGTACAATATGTGCACTAGACTAGCGAGACCGCCAAGCACTTGTGTGTTGGCCTGGCGTTCTTGCATCGCTACCCTCAAGCAAGCAAAGGCTACCCTCAAGTCTTCTTGTGCCACGGGGGCTTTGGCGGGTTGCTCGGTTACCCTAACTGCAACCCTTTGAGGTTCCCATCAATGCTCTCGCTCGCTGTTCAGCCAATCCAAGATGCGCACGGAAGTCGGAGGTGCTTTTGGCCATGCAACGCCACCTTTCATGGAAGTTCGACAGGAAGAGGTTTCAAGAGATCCCTAGGCTTCCAAGACCTAAAAGATTGTTGACCTGGTGGTGTAGTGAAAAAATCCTTGTCATGTAGTAAAACACTGGTGTTTGGTAAAGATCATTAAAACAATGGTTGTTCGAATCCTAGGGAGGTTGTATGCAAGTTTAGGCTTAACAGTTGCTGATAGAACATGTTCATAAGCTGCACATTGACATGGAAAGTCCTAGCAAGACCACCAACCACCGTTGCCTCTCATATCTTGGCATCCGCAAACCTCTTCCGAAGAGCACACAAGCTGAGCGCGAGGTACGGTGACCTTTTGTTGGGTACCTTGCTCGCCCACCCTCAAGATTGGTCCCTCACAAGTACACCCTTTTCGGGTCCCAAACACCGTCCCAACCGGTCCCAACACGGAAGCACCATGTCAACGTCGCGAAGGGAACAGGGGCTCTTGTGAGCGTCTTCCCAGGAGATCGGCAGCGGCAAAACACAATATAGGGAACCATAAGGGCCCAAGGGCCCGGTCTATGGGTTTTTGGATGTTTTTAGTCGAACTGGAACACTGGTGACCAGTTACTAGTGGTTTGCCTCTATGTGATTGGGAATGGCCACTGGCCCTTTTGCCCGATAACTTCTTCGGAAACACATTCCAGAATTCAGCGTTCAGTCTATTTCAAATCCCAGATGGGAATCAAAAACGTCTCAAAAATTGTCTTTGGGGGACCTGAAAGGGAATTCCTTTACTTCACTCAGGAAAATATAGTCTTTGGACATCTACATTGCGCTTCCAATGAGTCCCCAATGAATGCAACCCTACTAATTAGTAGGCATTAAGCATTACCAGTAGTAGGGTTGTCCATTGGTGACCCCCCCGGTAGGGGTACATCAAAAAAAATCTCACACACCATTGCCCCAGTCGGCCCTCCAAAAACATCGAAGCTCAGGCCTGGCGAGCCCTACTCAAGTCTCACCTGTGATGTCGCACGGAAGGGGGTGAGCTGCATCGGACAAGGTGGGGGAAGGCCTTGGCTTAATCGGTTTAAACGCGTGTGACACAACCCATTCAGCTGGACAAGTTCAACCCTGCTTAAACTGTTTGCGCTTTAAGCGATTTAACAGTGAAACGCGTTTAGCCCCAAACAACCCATGGACCTGGAAGGGTTTGGAGGGCACACCGGCCTCACCCAGAACTGCCAATGACTCCATGGGTTCCCACCACTACCAATCACAATCCACCACGACCAGACCGGAGTAAAATGACTCAGGATAGTGACCGACATGGACCCCCAAGAAGAATGAGAGCCAAAAAGAGGCCGAGGCCGTGCATGGGGATGTGATGTGAGCGTCCAAAAGATTGGACATTTGAGATGTCCTCGAAAAACCTTGGTTGGACCTATAGGTTCTTTTCTGTGGGTTTAGGGGTTAGCAACGTGAGATATCATTTCTGAACTAAAGATAACTAAAGAACCAGGGGTCTAAGAGTACACCTGAGGACAATGAAAAATCTAGGTATGGTCTTGAAAAACCCCTGCGCTCGCCTTTGCGCCTTTTTGCGCCTATGATGCGTTTTTTCAATATTATCCTATGTTTTGATTGCTTCAGTCTTCAGTAGTAGCACTCAAAAGTCATGCTCGAGGCGGAAGAAAAATACGAGAAAAAATCAAATAATGCAGCAATCAAAAGAAAAGGAACAGGAAAAGAAAGGACCGGAAAACAGGCTGGATCTGGCTGGAAAGATTGGGCCTGGCAAAATTGTGGTACAAATCATTACAAATCTAGTGCAGGGAAGGGTTTCTGGAGCTAACAAAAGTATTATATATACAATTATACAATAAAAAAATAATGTTGGTGCAGAATTGGTCAAAAAAAAGAAGCGCGAAAGGCACAAGGAAGCAACAAAAAGAAACAAAACAGGAAAAGGAAAAGAGAGGAAAAGGAGATGGGGAGATTGGACCTGGCAACTCTGCAGTACAAATGTGCAGAACGGCGATAATAAGCAGGTCAAAGAACGAAGAGGGCAAGATACAAGATAGGACCTTCTCTTTGAAGATCGCCTTCTTTAATATGTCCACTTCCAGCAGTCTAGGTTCAGCACGCTGGTCCCCCAACTCGAACACTAGAGCGATGTCGATGTCCGACTTGCGGCCGATGCTGTCGAAAAATGATCCAATCGGGGCATCGCTCCAGAAGGAGACGCCCGACCCAGTAAAGACCAAATTCCAGCCCTTCAAGTCGAACTCAATGCAGTTTTGTGCATGCTGCCCTTTGCTAACATATATGCGACAGCAGCTCGGGGGCCGTGACGGCCGCCGCCGCCGCCACCAATGCCCAAAATTGCCAACAATGGAAACAGTTGATGATGAAGTGCCATCATGGCTGGAACAGTGTGCGACCAATGCTGCACTGCATGGGCTACATGTTCCAATGCAGCTTGGAAGAAGCATCACAGGTGCATTGGGCCCACTGCCACTCACCTCTTATGGCCTTCATGGCCATCTTGGGCTGAGTGAACCGTGTAAGCATTACCATGCTTGCATGGTCAGCGTGACTGAATTCATTCGGCCAAATACTATCAACAATGTAACAAAATTCATGTGCAACCAACTGGTGCACTCACACAAGCTCGGGCAAGGCGCGGTCACCAGCATGATCTTGGGGCAGACATTGTGGATGATCTCCTGGATCAAATGCTTGGACCGTGCAGCCCAGTTCATGGGTTCATCGCCATGTACAGTCTTCACCCGCAGCTGTCCCACGCATCCTTGAACCTCCTGTCGCCCAGCAAGACATGTTTCTCCGCCAAGGGAAGTCGCGGACACTCATTCAGGGTGCTCATGGAAATCCCGTGCAGGCAGTCGCCTGATGTTCATCATTGCGCTCGCCCTTGCGCCTTCTTGTGCCTACCAAGTAAAAACACACTCTGACATTGGCATTCAGTTACACTCAGTTCCCACGTTGGGAAGGAAGGCGATGGAACG